AATTGTATACCTGCAATCACAAAAAATTTCCACATGGCAAATTTTTTTCACTGAACTGGATATGGCCTATGTTACTAATAGCATGTCAACTGTCAGCAGCTAAATGTAGACCAAAAAAATCACCTACGTGCACCATTTTACTATATGTTGTTGTTGTTGTTAAGTGCCATCGAGTCGGTTCCGACCCATAGCGACCCTGTACAGGGTTTCCGAGGGTGTAAATCTTTACGGGAGTAGAAAGCCTCATCTTTCTCCTGTGGAGCGGCTGGTAGTTTCGAACTGCTGACCTTAAGGTTCGCAGCCCGATTCGTAACCACTACGCTACCAGAGCTCCTTATTATATTGAAGGCTAAGTATCACTTCCTTTTCAAAGCATTGCATTCTCTCAATATATTCTTTTCTGGATTCCCTTTCAGAGTAATTTAGTAATTTCACTGTTGCCTTGAAAATAAGAATGTACCTTTGTATGCATGTATGCATGCCATTTGTAAGGACCAAATATAGGCTAAAGAGGAAAACAAATTTTAAAACAGATAAATTGTGTTTCTGTTTAAACACGTAATTCAAAAGATAATCATTTTACTCTGAGTTCAGGCTTTGATCAAATAAGTGAGCCTGTTCTCCAGTAATCAAAACTGGAGGTTTTCTGTTCTCCCTTTTCAAAGAATTGCCCTGAAGCTCTTTATATTGCGAATGGTATTCTTATAAAGACCCTTTGACAAGAAAATTATTTATTTATTTCAGTGAAGGAGAGCTTTCATTTGCCTAATTAATGCAGTAAGTGAGTGCTGATGCCAGAAATAAAAGTTAGTGCTGGAAAACTCATAGCCAGTTGTTGACACTATTTTTTATATTAAACAAGTTCTTAAAAAAAAAACAAACAAATTCTTAAGATGGCATTCATACCTGCCTTAGTTTGAACAAGCATGTGTAGGTATTTTAAATTCAAGCACTTAAAAAAAGTTCTCTCCAGATAGGGTTATCAGAAACATGTTTACTATTTAACAGTACCCAGTTAAGATGAGATAAAGTCTCTATTTCAGATAATGTTGAGAGGGAGAAAAACCCATTCAGTGTCCCAGGGATTCATGGAGCAATAGTCTGGATTCCTATGAGAGGTACTTCCCTTATGAGGAACATTAGTAAGGACCACGCCTGCCAAAGGTTCCATCATGCTTGTTCATTTATCTGAGCTTGGCCCCGGGAAAGCTAGATTTAAAGTCTGCTTTCTTATAGCTAACTTCAGTCCATCATGAGGGCACTATGATTTGGTCTCAGCTTTGAAGTTCAGTCAGTTTTGTCAGCCTCTCTCCACATTGTAGCCCTTAGTTTTGTTGCTGTTTCTGGTTTTGGTTGTGGGTGATGATGGACATTTTGCAGCTGTCCCAAAATGCATCCAAGGAGATATGCTCCGTTGTCTGTCTTTGACTCTTTTTTTAAAGTTTGTATTGTGAATTGAGTGATAGCTTCCATGGGAAAACACTAGTTTTATGCTCATCGTTTCAGTGCAATGATTATAATCCCCTCAGTGCATCATCATTCAACAGTATTTGCTTCTATTCTCTCTGTTTGTTTGTTTGTTTTATGGGGGGTGTGGGGGGGAAGCAGGGATGTACACAAAAACACTCAAGAATATATAATAATTTAAACAACAAAAGGGCACAATCTGCAAGCCTGCCACCTGGCCGAGCCTGCACACAGTCTTTCTCTTTCTATGAGTCTAGAATTCTCAGCTGCTCCCTCTCTCCACGACCTCATCTTTGCCTCCATCTCAGTGCCACTGCTTCTCTGGATAAGGTTCCACATCCCGCTCCTACTCTTCTCCCCTGATAGTCCTAGGGTCTTCTGTTCCTGGACTGTAAGATTAACTATTCCCCCCTTTTTGTTATAGAATTTCTAACTTTACAGTTGTGACAGTTGCAATTAGTCACGGTACCAATTACTCACTATTGAATCATAAGAATCTTATCCCCATCTCTGCACCAGACCTGTTTAGACAAGATGAAAGCTATTCAGTGGGGACTCTATTTTTCCCCACATACTCTTAAACTAAAGTTCCTCTTGAAAACTTGTAAGCCAGTCACTTCGTGCCTTTATTGCCCCCTCATTTTAGGTAGCCAGTGTTTAACTTGCCTGTCCCTATCTGCCCTGTATTCAGAGGGGATAGGATTAATACTTAATGTGAAGACTCCTTCCCTCTCGGTTGGTATTTTGAGATACTACATCCGTAAGTATAGGTTAAGTTCATCAAATTGTAGCAATTTATACTTGTTTCCTGTATCAAAAATTGTGTTTTTAAAAATCTTCCTCTAGTTCAGTTCTGATTATTAAAGCCATCGAGGCTAGGTCAAATGGGTACTATCTGCAACTTTGGGTGTTCTTGTGCGCCTGCCCTCACTTCATATCAATCAGCGGGATGCTTCACTCTCAGCTCTAGTTCTCCTTGGCTATGTCCTTATACATGGGCTCAGGAATCCACAGGTCTTATAAACCAACCAACTCTTCCTCTTCTCTCTCTCATCTCCAGGTCAACGGGAGTCTTTGGAACGTGGTCAAACTCAGCCCATATTTTCATTGCTGCCTTTCCCCCTCTTCCACTCACCAGTAGACCAGTGTGGTCACCAGTAATCTTACATGCCTGCTCATGTGTTCCCTTTGAGTTTCAGTCTTGGAGAGGGCTTTGTGCTAAAGGGACTTGATTGCTTGCCCTGATGGCTTCCGGTAAACTCGCTTGGTTTTGTAGTAGCCAAACAGACTGCCATTTTTGTTTTGGACTTTTCCTACTCATCTTCCTTTCAAGAAGTATCTTTTGTTGCTCTAGCTGTTCCAGGCTGGTGTGCTTGTCCTTTCAAGTGGGAATGTCCCACCTCAGAAGGTTCTGGATGGGGCACAGGATTCCACCTAAGGTCCTATCCACTGCAAAGGCTCCATAAAAACTCCCCTATTTCACTGGGCAAGTTCTAGAATCCCTTTTAGGTATTCCAATCATTTACAAGCTTTCTGTAATCGTGTTTCCTGATATTCCTTTCTAGCCCACTCAGGTGTCTATTTTACAGTAGTGTGGCAAGGGAAACCAATATTCATAAGACAGTCAAGCATCTTAATATTATTTCCCCTCTTCAGACTATGCCTCAATCCCTGTATCACAGTTGTTCCAAGGTTGAGTATACATCACTATTTACCTCTGTTCCATATAGCCCATGCAAACCTGCTTTCAATGTTCCCCTATCTACCTTGTTCTTCCATCCTCCCCCTTCTTGGGTATTGCCCTCCCCAACATCCAAACTATGGTGTGTCTTTCCCCTATCCTGTGTTCCAACCCAACCCACTCCACTCCCGTACCCCTCCCCCCGTAACCAACAAAGAATTTTTTTTTTCCTTTTAGTTTGGGTATCTTTTCTTAAACTTTTTCAATAATGCTCTTATTCAGTATTTGCCCTTTTGTGACTGACTAATTTCACTCCATATAATGTCCACAAGGTTCATCCATTTTATGTGGTGGCTTACAGCTTCCATGTTATTCTTCAAGGTAACATAGTATTCTATTGTGTGTATGTACCAAAGTTTGTTTATCCATTCTTCAATTGATGGACACTTAGGCTGTGTCTGTCTTTTTACTATTGTGAATAGTGCGGCTATGAACATTGGTGTACATATATGTACTCATGTTATGGCCCATGTTTCTTATGGATATATTCTGAAGTAGAGGAATTGCTGGAGCATAAGGTATTTCTATTTCCAACTTTCTGAGGAAGTGCCATACTGTTCTCCAGAGTAGTTGGACCATATTGCATTCCCACCAGCAATGTAGGAGGGTCCCAGACTCTACATATCCTTGCCATTATTTATTGTCCTCTGCTTTTTTGAACTTTACAGGTATTGCTGGCATGAAATGTTATCTTATTGTTGTTTTGATTTGCGTCTCTCTAATTGCTAATGATCATGTTGTTGGCTAAAGGAACATAATCTTCCTTGGTGAAGTGTCTGTTCATATCCTGTGCACATTTTTTATTTGGGTTATTTGTCTTTTTCTTGTAGAGGTGTTGTAGTTTCCTATATATTTTAGAGATTAGTCCCTTGTCTGATATGTCGTTGCAAAAGATTTTTGCCCATTCTGTTGAGCTCCTTTTTTACTCTTTTGGTGAAATCTTATGATGCACATAAATTTCTAATTTTTAGTATGTCCCAATCATCTATTTTGCCTCCTTTTATTTGTGCAGTTCTTGCAATGCCTATATGTGCCCTTAAATTTGTCCCTATTTTTTCACTGATGAGCTTTATAATTCTGGGATTCACATTTACGTCTTTAATCATTGCTGAGTTTGGTTTTTTTAATATAGTTTGTGGTAAAGTTTGTTTCAATCTTTTGCATATCAATGTCAAGTTCTGCCTGCACTGTCTGTCTGTTGAAGAGACTATCTCCTCCCCATTCAATGTAGTTTGGCTCTTTGTCAAAGATCAGTTGGCTACATGTGGATGGATTAATTTCCGGATTCTTGATTCTGTTCCATTTCTCCTTGACTCTTTTAGCAGTATCTGACTTTTAATGTATACTAGCTACATTGATGTATAAGACAGAAGAGCCGTTTTAAATCTGAAGCTGGTCTCTACAAGATGGAGTAGCTTTGAAAAATCATTTTGTAGACCAACAAGTGTAACTTCTTTCATGTTACTAAGCATGGGGGAAATCCAGAAATATTTTTGTGGAATTTAAAATATTAAGAGAATTTCTATCACTGCTGTAATAGCACATAAGAGAGGCAACGGCTTTTAATCACAAACCTTTATATCTATAGTGATTTAGTGTCTGCGTGTATGGGATATAGTTTCAACTTCTCAGTTATTAGGAGGAGATTGAGTTTCATTCGGTTGCAAACGTTGAGCCAAACCACCTTTCACAAATTGAAGGTGTCAAAATTGGTTGTTAATCTTGATATCACTGCACAACTTTGCTCTTAAGTGAAGTTACACCCAAACATTGTTTTTTAATTGCTTTGCAGATGAAAACTGGGATGACGACCAACTACTTGGTTTTGAACGCTGCAATGAAAACCTTATCTCTGGCTGCAATATAATCAACGGCAAATGTGAGTGTGACACCATCCGAACCTGCAACAATCCTTTTGAATTTCCAAGGAAGGATATGTGCCTTTCAGCTCTAAAGAGGATTGAAGGTAAGCACTAATTTTAGTTAACCCTCTGTGTGAACCTTAGCAAGTATACATCTGAATAGTGGTAATATTTGAGCTGAGTCAGAAAAGACAAACACAAGTTGACAGATATTGGTAGCTTTTATTAACCTCAAATAAACATCGTAAAATGTACAAGGTACTGATGTGATGTGATGGGTGTGTGTTAGGGGTGTGTGTGCACGTGCACAGTCCTGGAAGCCAGAGGATGGTGATGCTGTGTCGGTGTGAGCAAGGGAATGAGTGCAGCTTGCCTAGGTCACCTCTACATTATGGATGATTTTACCAGTGGTGTTCTTGAGATCAGCATCTGTTGTTACCAGGTTCATTCCGCTTGAGTTCCAGAAGATGGTGCTCCGTGAGGAGAGTGTGCTAATTAAAAATGCAGCTCATCTGGCAAGAAAGAGTGTATCTTTAGACGAGCTGGGAGACTTTTGTAGTGAAGATTGAAGACTGAGTTAGGTTGATTCTGCCAGAGGGCAAAAACGACCTTGGTATGAATGGATCATTGGACACTTCACCTCTAGAGAAAATTCAAATTATACTAAATCAACAAGAAAATTAGACTAAGATGGCCCATAACTTTTGTATAGTCATGCATAAATCCTAGAACAAAAATTGAAGAATTGAAAATAATGACTCCTAACCACAGTTACCATGAGGGAAGTACCCAGAGCTTAGTGCAAAATTAAACTCATAAGGGTAGAAGGACAGGACTGATGTTTCAGAATTGTATTGTTTCTAAGTTAGATGAAATGGTAATAATAAAGATATTTTATAATCAATTAATAGCCTCTAAAACAGCATTTCTCTATATTTTCAAATGCTGCTGAATTATTTAAATATAATATGGTGTGGCGCTGCTGGATAAACACTGGTTTGCACATCACGAGGTCAGAGGTTCAGACCCATCAGCCATTCCTTATATATACAGGGCTATAGATACAGGGTTTCTATGAGTCAGAAGTGACACAACTATTTTTTTATTACGTGTAATCTCCATGATGTGTAAATTAACAACAATAACATAGGAACAATAGAAATAAAATTTTAGAACCAGAAATGATTTAGCCTAAATGAGAAACGGAGGTCCCCAGAATTGATTAGTAACAGGCCTTCGCTTGTCAGTTATTCTTTCAAGCACATCATGGCTTTAGACAAAACAGTCAAGTGCTTACCTCATTTTATTGTCTCATGGCTCTTTTTCTTCCCTTTTCACTACCCGCATCATCTACCGAAAACAGAGTGGTGTTTCGCCATTTTAGTGTCTAAACATTTAGAGGTAAAGATGTAGTTGCCACATGTCTATGTAAATAAATGATGTTATCTGTACATATTTGGAGTCCTGGTATAATGCTGTAGCATAAGCAATGGACTACTAACTACTGTAAGGTCTGTGGTTCAAACCTACTATCTGCGTCTTGAAAACTCTGTAGAGGATTACTATGAGTTGGAACTGCTTCAATATTACTTAATAATAACAACAATACATATTTAAAATATCATATAAAATACTGCAGCAAATTAGAAATACTGCTTTTTGCCATTCTAATACATAACTGTTGTTGTTGGTAAATGTTATTGAGTCATTTCTGACTCATAGTGACTCTGGGCTGTAAACCTTCTCGAAGCTAAAAGCCTCATATTTCTCCCACAGTGTGGTTGGTGGGCTCACACTTCTGACCTTGTGGTTTGCAGATCAGTGCTCATTGTTTGGATTCACCGTGCTCCCTTTTATGTCTTGAAGCCATTTGTATTCAAGAGTTTCAACTGCATTCGCAGCATTGCTGGTTCTGTAATTGTCTTTGCATAGGCCACCTTTCAAGTCATTTAATACCATGATTGTGAACGCAGCCCCTTCTCTGCCATCTAAGTTGTTTGAGATGCAGCAGATTCTAAATCTCTGTATGGGGCTATCACAGGAAGATTTGCATAAAACTCAGAATGTAGTGTATAAAATTAAGACAGTTACATTTTAAATTTATTTTAATTTGTAATCTCCACGATGTGTAAATGAATTGCATTGACATTTAAAGTGATTCTTAAAAGACTGTGTACAAGATTCAGCACTTCCAGTTTTAAGATCATTCCCACAGGAATAATGTGTTATTGTAGGATAAACACTCGAATGCAATGTCGCATTAAACTGCAAGGTCTGCCATTAATGTATCTTCCACAAGTAGTACTTCTTATTCAAAGTAAAGCACCTTGCAATATGAAAATTCCTATAAGAAGTTAGTATAAGGGATTACCTCTCTTTGGATGAATATTTTGGAGGGAAAAAACATGCTTATATTCATATAT